AGTTTGATATGGCTGATGGCACGACACACACTTGGGAGATAGACTTTCTTACGGAAGTGGATGGCGTTCACTATCTCAATTTAATGGCGACGGTGGAGCCGAAGAATGGGTTAACTGAGCAACGAGCGCACGCTATCCGCATCGAAGTCGGCGACTGGAAATCCGTTGAGGATGCCCGCAAGGCTGCGAAGCCGATGCAGGAACAAGCGGATGGCGAAATGGCGATCATCCTGGAAGCTGAAGAGACCATCGAATAGGCGGTCGCGCGCCCAGGTTCAAACGATATAGTCTGGGCTGACCCGCTTGTCCGGGGCGTTGCGATAGACGAGAAACGAATAGACCGCGCTGATCAGAGCGGATGAGACCGCTGAGCCCGTCACCACGGCGACCACGCTGATCCCATCGATGATGAAAGCGCTGATCAGGCAGATGAATCCGACCCCGAAGAACAGGCGCCCGGCGAGCCGGTGGGTCTTTTCCCAGGTATACTCGCTCGACAAGGTCCATGGTGTGCGAATGCCGAGGAACCAGTTCTGGCGGGTCTTGGGCAAATAATTTCCAAGCACAATGAACAGGATGCCCGTGCCAGCGATGACGATGCGAACGAACTCGTTCGATTGCATCTGATCGCCGGTTGACTGGACCATCATATACGCGATGCCGCCCTGGATCCCGAGGAACAGGATCATGGTTGCGATCCAGACCGCGTTATAGGCCTTGCGGCTCTTGAACAGATTGTCCCGCATCGGCTCGATTTGCGGCAGTAGGGCAAAGACGCCTGCACCAAAGAGCGCGCTTCCAGGGACCAGCCACAGGACAAATAGCGCTTCCTGGCGATCGGCAAATCTGTCAGCGACGCCGTTTGCGTTCCAATGCACGGGGATATTGTCAGCTGGCAATTGCCCGCTGGCCCAGAGGGATATGCCCGCCATCAGAACCAGAACAATGGCGGAAACGATTAAACCGGTGCGGATCATTCTGCGGCCTCCTTGAGCTCGTCATCGCCATTGTCGCGTCCGATCATGCCCAGAAGGGACGTCACGGCGTCCTCAACGACGCTTGTATTGGTGCGGTAAATGATCGATGTGCCGCGGCGTTCTGCGGTGATCAGATCTGCGTCCTTGAGGACGNTTTCGGACCCTGCCTGAGCAGCGCCATAACCTGACGCCGCAAGGGATGCCCCAAAGCCTTGAACACTTCATTTGCCATGAAACCTAATTAGCAAAAATGATAATTAGGAGTCAAGCTAATTGTTTAAAGTGCTAAATACTAATCTTCGATCAGTTGAATCACGGCGTAGCGATTGAGTGAATCCTGATCCAGCCCGCTATCAGTTGCAGACAGCTGTCTGTGCCGACCCCAGCTTTCCGGCGGGATGATCAAATTGTCTTCCAGTCCGAGATCGCTGCGCAAATAGTCATAAACCACAGTGCCGCGATTTCGGCATAGCGAGATCGTGCGTTCGGTTGAATCGCAAGCGGAAACGACGGCAATGCTGCGGGCGCCATGTTCGGCGGCGTGATCTTCGGCGACCCACTCGGCAAAAGCGGCCATATTCGATTTTGCGGCCTCGGACAGCTCTGATGCGCCGGGCTCAAAGAACACAAACAGACTGTCATCGCGGCGATTATAAGAGGCATCGCCCTGGATAATCCGCTGGTTCATGCCTGTACGCGCGGCGATTTGTTTGGCGTCCGAGACCCACGGGGTCAGCAGTTTCGACACCGACGTGTCCACACCAAGGACGCTGGTGATCCGCGCTTCATCAGCTTCTGCCTGTTCGATCCGGGCGGCCGCTGAATCAGGATCAGCTTGNCTTTCAACAGATGGTGCGCGATGGCCATGGGCGGGGGGCAGAAGAAGCGGTCGTGCGTGCCAGCCAGCATGCGTTTGACATCGTCGCGCGTAAGCCACTCAGCCGATTCCAACTCGTCGGTGTCGACCGTGATTTCGTCTGTCTGAGCTTCCAGGATCAGGCCGACCATCAGCGAAGACGGGAAGGGCCAGGGCTGACAAGCGATGTATTCGGCGCTGGCGGGGTCGCAGACAATGCCGGCTTCCTCTTCCAGTTCGCGTGCGGCGGCTTGCTCGATTGTTTCGCCTGGCTCGCAGAAGCCTGCGAGGGAGGAGACAAATCCGGCAGGCCAATTTGCTTGTCGGCCAACAAGGCATTTGTCGCCCTTGACCGCGAGCATGATGGCCACGGGGTCCGTGCGCGGAAAATGTTCGGTTCCGCACGCGGGGCATTCGCGTTTCCAGCCTGCTTCGACAATCGCGGTACCTGCGCCGCACTTTGCGCAGAAGCCATGCGAGGCGTGCCAAAGGAAGATGCTGCGTGCGGTCGAGGTGCAATTGGCCTCCAGCGCGCTCATGCGCCCGGCCGCCGCGCGAAACTCAATGAACTCGCCGACGCCTGCGATGAGAGAGGTTTCAAGATCAAATTTGGGCGGCAGATTGACCGCGAAGACGGGTGCGCCGCTCGTATCCTGACCGAGGAAAATGCGGGGAGAACCCGGCGAGACTTTCTCGATTTCCGGCCCCATCCAGACAAGGCCGCCATCTGTCGCAGCGAATGGATCACCATTGCGCAGCATCAGGACCAGCACATCGTCGCGCGCAAAAGCTGCATCCAGCCAGGCATCGTCCTTGCGGTGATGCGCGGCACGATCAATCGGCTTGGCAGCAAGCGGCATGTCATTGGAATTGGTCATGTGGCGATCCTCACTTTGTCCGGCTGACTTGCCGCCTGAAGGCGGGTTTGTAAATGAGGTTCGCCGCGGCAGGGGCCTGCCTGACAACAAAGCATAGCCAATCGCGGCGGGCACGTGTATGTGCGCGGCAAATCAGCCTCCCTCCCGAAAGCATACCCTCCATGTCCACGCCTATCGAGAAAATGCGCAACATCGCGATCATTGCCCACGTTGACCACGGCAAGACCACGCTCGTCGATGAATTGCTGAAACAATCCGGCACGTTCCGCGAGAACGAAAAGACCGCCGAACGGATGATGGATTCCAACGATCTGGAGAAAGAGCGGGGCATTACCATTCTCGCCAAGACGACGTCGGTGGAATGGAAAGACTATCGCATCAACATCGTCGACACGCCCGGACACGCCGATTTCGGTGGTGAAGTGGAGCGTATCCTTCAGATGGTGGATGGCGCCATCGTGCTGGTCGATGCGGCTGAGGGCCCAATGCCACAGACCAAATTCGTCGTTTCCAAGGCCCTGAAAGTCGGCCTTCGCCCGATTGTGGCCGTGAACAAGATCGACAAGCCTGAGCGTCGGCCCGATGAAGTGATCAACGAAGTGTTTGACCTCTTTGCCAATCTCGACGCCTCAGACGACCAGCTCGACTTCCCGATCCTCTACGGCTCGGCCAAGCAGGGCTGGATGAATACCGAATATGAGAACCAGACCGAGAACATGGATTCCCTGTTCCAGATGGTTGTTGATCATGTGCCCGTACCAAAAGTGGAAGAGGGACCGTTCCGCTTCCTCGCCACAACGATTTCTTCCGATCCGTTTCTCGGCCGCATCCTGACGGGCCGCGTCTCGTCCGGCACGATCAAACCGAACCAGTCCATCAAGGTGCTGAACCGTGACGGCGAACTGGTCGAGCAGACCCGCGTCTCCAAAGTGCTGGCGTTCCGCGGCCTGGACCGCGTGCCGGTCGACGAAGCCCAGGCTGGCGATATTGTGTCCCTTGCGGGTACGACGAAGGCAAACGTAGCCGACACATTCTGTGATCCTTCCGTCAGCGAGCCGATCGAAGCGCAACCGATCGATCCGCCAACCATCTCCATGACATTCCGCGTCAATGATTCTCCGCTGGCCGGTACCGAAGGTACGAAAGTCACCAGCCGGATGATCTGGGACCGCCTGCTGAAAGAGGCCGAAGGCAATGTCGCCCTCAAGGTCGAGCGTGCCACCGACGCCGAGGCGTTCACCGTCTCCGGGCGCGGCGAGCTCCAACTGGCCGTCTTGATCGAAACGATGCGCCGCGAAGGCTTTGAACTGGGCGTCTCACGTCCGCAAGTCGTGATGCAGGAAGGCCCGAACGGCGAGAAGCTTGAGCCAATCGAGGAAGTGGTCATCGATGTGGATGACGAGCATTCCGGCGTGGTCGTGCAGAAACTGTCCGAGCGCAAGGCCGACATGCTGGACATGCGCCCGTCGGGTGTCGGTCGTACGCGCATGATTTTCCATGCGCCGACACGCGGCCTGATCGGTTATCAGGGCGAGTTGCTGTCCGACACGCGCGGCACCGCGATCATGAACCGCGTCTTCCACGAATACGCCCCGCACAAGGGCAAGATCCAGGGGCGCCATACGGGCGTTCTGATCGCCATGGAGCAGGGTGAAGCAGTCGCCTTCGCGCTTTGGAACCTGGAAGATCGTGGTCCGATGATGATCCATCCGGGCAACAAGGTGTATGGCGGGATGATTGTTGGCGAGCACAATCGCGACAATGATCTCGAAGTGAACGTCCTGAAAGGCAAGAAGCTGTCCAATGTCCGTGCCTCAGGCACCGACGAGGCTGTCCGCCTGACACCGCCTCTGCAAATGACGCTGGAACGGTCATTGGCCTATATTGCCGATGATGAACTGGTCGAAGTGACCCCGGAAAGCATCCGCTTGCGCAAAGTGCATCTCGATCCACACGAGCGTAAACGTGCCGCGAAATCGGCGAACGCTTAAGGTCTGTTAGCGGTTCTCAGAGACTGAGAGTTTTGGCGTCAGCTGTTTCCGAATCTCGGAGACGGCCCTCCAAAACACTGCGCAAAGTCTCCGGAGAAACGTAGGGAACAAACAGGTCGCCGGCAGGCGCAAACACGATGGGTAGCCCTAAACGGTCAGCTTCTTTGGTGATCTCGCGTTTCCAGTTGCGGGTTGTTTCTGCACCTGAGAGAATAACCGCATTGGATGCTCGAGTGACGCTGGCCTGCCAGTGCACATCTTCAATCAGCGCCGTTTGCAACTCATAGTACATGGTTTCCGGACTGATCCGTTGAAGATGCAATCCTGCTTGTTGAAAGTCTCCCTGATTCTTCGCAACATATGCCATATCGCCCGGGCTTTTCTGACTGAACTGCTTGTAGAACCAAATCGGGTCACGACGTAAAACAGCCCGCAATCCACTGACCGCGATTTTCAAACCGCTTTTTGACAAAAGCGTTTGCCGGATCATCCGCTTCAGCCACGCGGGTCGTATCACATCCCAAATGGCAGGATGAAACAATGGGTTCGCGTAGATTGAAAGCCCTACTTCAGGGCATATTTGCGCCAATCGAAAACAAATTGAGTTTGATGTGCCCAGCCCCATCAAAACAAAATCTTTCAATCCCATCGATTCGAGCAGCAGTTTCAAAAGTACCGTTTCAGCGCCGACGGGAGCGAGGTTTTTGACTTCTCGGCTAGCGAGCAAGATCGGCGGCAAATCAGCTGTTCTTCCAAAACCAGGGCGCCGGATAAAGATAACTTGATATCCGGCCTCCCACATTTGCTCGCAGAATTCGCACGAAGGCGGCATAGGCAGATCAATTGAACTGACAATAACCAGCGGCCGCAGAGAACCAAGAACTTGGCGGTAAATCATCACCTCAACTTCGATTGACGTGTTACCGATTGAAACAAGTTTCAGCGCGCGCGGATCGGCATTGTCGTTAAGCTCTGTCATCTTATCGTTTGGTTGAGAGACGGTCATCGGACGCTATTCTATGCCTGGCGCGTGTGAAAACACAAATGGTGAGATCGATGCGAAGCCAATC